ATTTTTAACTTTATAATGCTATGACATATTGAAAAGTGTATGGATCAACATTATTTTTTTATGAGAAATAATATTTTTTAATAATCCCTTTTTCATTCTACATACTTTATCTTAATTAGAATATTAATAATGAACTAGCAGATCATGTAGCTTTTGGAATAGTCCACCAATTTTTTAAAATAAAACAGTATCTAAAGATTTGCATCGAAGCGTTTTTTTTTGATAGTGATTTTAATCACTGTCAGATATCATTATACTTGATCCATCTATACCACGCCACCACTGTGCCGCGACCCCCCTGTGCTGGGTTTTTTAATTCTGCACTTACTATTGTAACGTACAGATTATTCGTCCTTCACCAACATTAGCATTTCAATACCACACTAGTGCCTGATCAGCACAAACGTCCCTACGACCTTCTACAGGTATGCGGCAAGTGCTGGTGTAAACAAAACCAATGTTATTCTTCTTCATTAAATAATTATATAATGACAGTCAGTCGACATTTTACCACGCTCGCGGATACTCGTTTTTTATTACAGATTATACTTTTATTACTACAACCTAATTCCGACAATATTATCTTTTACTATTAATTTAATTATTACCATTTATTTTATTATAATCGGATTGTGTACGCTCGCCTAACTTGGATATGTGATATCACAACATCTCTATAGATCCTGTCAGGTATTATTAAATATACTATTAAATAGAAATAAATGCTTGTTATCGTTGTTACTTGAGAGTCTATATTTATTGGTGACGAAACCGCTAACTACACTTCTAGTCGAATATAAATTATATAGGGCCAGCGATGCCCCGTTAAGGTACAGCTTAGCCAACTGTTAGGATTTTAGCGGGAAAGCACGTTGCACTATAATACTGTTTCAACGTATTTATATATCAAAATTAAAATAGTTCGACACAAATATAACTTTTGATCCAATAATATTTTACGTTAATTTCTTTTCAAATTATTTTTATACTTGAAGACTTAAAAAAAATAGCATAACATACAATATTTTTTAATTTATTTAAAATAAAATAACCAAAAACGTAATAAAAATACATCAGGGATGCTATTTTGAACAGAAGATTTAAAAAAAAATTTTTATTAATGTTCAATAGTAAAATATTTGTAGCATTTTAAAGTTTAAAATATTTAATATTTTATAATGAGTATTATTAAATATTAGGCTTTTAACTGTGTCATATAGAAATGTAAGTACGATCATATTTTATTTTTAGGTGAGTTATGTAAAACCAAAGATATTTACAATGTTATATAAATTCAACGATGATTATGTCAAACAAATCAGTGAATTCGGAGATAAAAGTGCAGCCATTGATGATGAAATTAGAAACAAAATAGTTAGGCATAAAAAACATCCTGAAATAATTATACACAATAGTGATAGATGCGAATTATATAATTATAATTTTTATCCTAAATACTTGATAGATTTCATATTGTACATATAAATTATGTCGATTTTTATGTTTATGAATAAATATTCAGATTTTAGTTGATAAATAGATTACCTATTGTTTTTTTTATTATCTTATAAACTTATAACAATTAATCTAATTCCATACTCAATTACAGACCATAAGTAGTTGGGATAAAAGCAAGGAAAAAGAAGATGTATTTCGAACATTTAATTAAATTATATACTGTACATATAAATTATGTCAAATCTTAATATTTCTGAATAAATATTCCGATTTTTTTTTTCGATGTAAAACTGAGAAGATATTAATTTTACTATGATGGATTTTAGCTTTGATGCGAAGCTGAGAAGGTATTAATTTTACTATAATGTGTTTTTTTTTTACTCTATACGCACAATCTTAGTTCTCGCTGGACCGATTTTGATGAAAAATATGTCAAAAGATCACAAATCGTATCTAGTTGAAGATATTACCCTCAAAATTTGAAAAAAAATCCCTCGTTCCTCGTAAATTGGGGTAATCCCCAAAAAATTACAAATTTCAAAATCGCTAATTTTTTATATTTTTTTTACTAAAATTGCCATAACATTTTTAAAAATGACCGAATCAATATATATTTTTTTTATATAGATACCTTAGGTATTTACCTATCATTTTATATATTTTTGTGAACATTTGACCCTTTATCTGTCCACATAAAGGGTTTTAAAATGGTAACTTTTTCACAAAAAATTAACTTTTTCAACTTATTTTTTGAAAATGTTCCGGAAAGACTGACACTTTTATATATACCTTAAATTAAAGCTAATGTAATATACTTTAATTTGAAAAAAAAATTTGATCTCTGGACATGTCTTCATGTTGAAAATGACTACCGTATGCAAAAATATGCTATTTTTGTAAAAAAATTCTTGATATTATATTTTACATTTTTTAACAATATGTTGCTATAACTTTTTAAAAAATGCATGAATCAATTTTATTCTTTAATGATAAATACTTTATATATACTTCTTCATTCAACATGCATTTTATTTAAATGGGACCATTTCCATATATACAGGAGGGGTGCGAACCTTTTAAAATGCGTATAGAAAGTAAAACTTTTTCAACTTAACTTTTGAAAATGTTCCGGAATGACTGACACTTTTATATATATATTAAATTAAAGTTTATGTAACATACTTTAATTTGAAAAAAAAAAANTTATGTAACATACTTTCATTTAAAAAAAAAAAATTGACCTCTGGACTTGTGTTCGTGGTGAAAATGGACATCAAAGTTAAAGAAAAACGTACGATTTCCATGAAAAATTTGTCGATTTTATATTTTATATTATGAAATTTATAATGCTATAACTTTTGGAAAAATGTATGGATCAATATTATTATTTTTTTATAAATAATTATTATATACTCCTTTCATCTGACACACTTTTTTTGTAAATCGGATCATACCCCTTTATACAAGGGGGGTCAAAACTTTAAACATGCTTATTGAAACTAGGACATTTTCAATTTAATTTTTGAAAGTGTTTCAGAAAAAATGACACCTTCATACATATCTTAAATTAAAGCTTATGTAATATACTTTAATTTGAAAAAAAAAAATTGACCTCTGGATTTGTCTTCATGGTGAAAGTGACTACCATATTCAAACATATGCTATTTTTGTGTTAAAATTCTGGGTTTTGTATTTTATTTTAATTTAAAATAGTACACTGATTTGGATAAAAATTATATAAATAAAATTAATATAGTATAGAAAGTTAAAGTTATTTAAATTTGTTTGCTTCTTTTAAGTCAAGAAAAATAACTTTGAAATTTGAACTAGATTAAATACCCATTTTTTTCAGCCAACGTTAGCGACGTACGGTTGCCGAGTCGGTTAAACTTATGTGTTCAAAAGTTATGTGTGTAGCCGGTCAAGTTCCACATAGCTCGAAATCGCATTACCCCTCTCCATGTAATGACGACAATCGTGTCCGACACTACCGGCAGCTTGCTGTCACTACGCTTGTGTACGCGGTTGAAGTTATACCGAACCGTTTGGGTCTGATGACCCGTGGCCAGTGAGCTGGCATAGTTTTCTTGTTAGGTTTGCGAAGCCCCAACGTACGGTTACTAAAGGCTCAATCCATATTGGGAGTTGGTGTCCTTAGCGTCCACACACTGGTGGTGTTTCCTTTTCTGTGGTTCGTCGAGTTAGTGCGTCTTGTCACTATAAAATTAATCGTGACACTAAGGATTGTTGGCATCGGCCAAGAAGTATTGTTGTGGAAATCTCAAGCATTGCGATATCACGCGGCCGAAGAAGTGTCAAGTGGATGGGTGATGTTACCCCTTTTTTCTTATTACTTAATGTTCATATTATATGTAATTATTGGATTTGTATATGATTAAAAGAATCGTGTCATTAGCAAAAAAAAAAAATAGAATAGATTGTTTTTTTAGCCTATTATTCGACTGTATAAGTAAAACACCGATCCGTCATTTATATTAAGATATTTACTTAAAGTTTCATTTTAATACATTTTTATTTCCATAACATTTAGCTCAACTTGCAAGTTTGAAATTGACATTATTAAATAGAAAAAAATTTTAATCAGTTTAATTTCTTATGTCTTATAAACTTTATTCTTTGTCAATTAAATTATAAAATATTCATTAAAGTCAGTGTATTGCCCTTATAAGATATTTTTAAATAAAATAAAATACAATACCCAGGATTTTAACACAAAAATAGCATATTTTTGAATACGGTAGCCATTTGCGCATAGAAGATAGGTCGCCGGGACAAATTTTTTTTTTTAATTTTATAGTACATGACATAAGCTTTAATATGACATATGTTTAAAGGACGCAGTATTTCTGGAACATTTTCAAAAGTCAAGTTAAAAAAGTTTGTTTTTGTAAAAAAGTTGTTATTTTAAATCCCCCCTGTGAGCAGAATAAGTGTTAGATTTTCAAAAAAAATGATATCAAATGAAAGTAAATTACCTAAGGTTTTAGTATAAAAAAGATTATGTTAATTTGTTGATTTTTCAAAAAGTTATGGAAGTTTTAAGAAAAAAAAGTGAAAAAATTTCGAAAATTAGCGATTTTTAAATTTGTAATTTTTTTGGATATTTCCCCCATTTGCGGGGAACGAGGGAATTTTTTTCAATTTTTAAGGGTAATGTCTTCAACTAGATACGATTTGTGATCTTTTGACCCATTTTTGAAAGAAATCGGTTCAGTGAGAGCTGAGAAAAAGTAGTGACAGACACAAACAAAAAATAAATAAATAAATAAACACATCATGGTAAAATTAATACCTTCTCAGCTTCGCATCGAAGCTAATAACAAAACCTTGGAGTGTAAAATTATTTAAATGAAAAAATGGATATGATGACATCCTCAGATATGTCCCTGGATAATTATTAGGCTTATTTTTTCAGTAACTGAACTAGTTATAAGCAAACTATGTTAAATACAGGAATTTTATTTATAAATTTTTCCCATTCATTTTTATTCAAAATTTCACGCAGTACTCTTCTAATTTAAATAAGACTTAAATTTTTAAATACTTTTATTCGTCATATTTTTCTTTAGCTTTTATTATAGAAAATGTTTTTATTTATTTATTCACGTTCGAGTTAAAGTATTATTTAATCATGATTTTATATAAAGACATTTAAATGTACTAAATAAGTACATCTTTCATTTGACATACTTTTTATTAAAATTGGACAATTTCCCCTTATATAGGTGGCGTCCAAAACTTGAAATATTGTAAAAAACATAGATCTTTTTCAACTTAATTTTTGAAAATGTTCCGGAAATACTGCATCTTTTAAACATATATCAAATTAAAGTTTATTTTATGTAATATAAAATGAAAAAAAAAAATTTGTCCCGACGACCTATCATCTATGCGCAAATGGCTACTATATTCAAAAATATGCTATTTTAACAAATTTTTTTTTTAAATTAAACACAATCTACAGATATGCATCTAAGCATTTTTTATGATAGTGATTTTAATCACTGTCAGATATCATCTATACTGGACCCAACTATGCCACGACCCCACTGTGCCGCCACCCCGTTTTACCGTTTTTTTTTATATGTAATTAGTAATAATATAAAAAATTAGAACTGATAGATAAAGTCTTATTGCAGATTTGAAAACAACACGAAAATTTGATTTAGAAAAGTATATTTTTGCTTCTGAGGAAAGTTCCTTGAAGTCCAGTGCATTCATTTACAGTAACAAACAGTTTTTATTGATAATTATTGTATCAAGCCTTTTAAATTTTTATAGACATAAAAGTAAAGCAAAATATAACTTCTTTATTATTTTTATAATTTCTCCGTTTAAATTAAAATATTAAATTATTGAATATCAATTTCATACTAAATTTAATAATTATAATTAGTATATATTCATATATTATATTTTAAAATCAAAGAACTACTAATCAGGATATAATTAAAGAAATAAGAGTTGATGTTGCTTTTGGAATAATCCACCAATTTCCTA